CCCTCTTGGCAACCTTGGAAGGCTTCTCGGGATCATCATGGAGGCCATCGATTACAGGATGGGTGGGTTCTCAACTCAACTCCCCCGTCAGGAGCCGACAAACCGCTTCTTGAGGCTCTATTGGGGCACTCTTGTAGTGGTCTTGGGGCCGTTTGGAGCATCTTGTGGGTGGGCAATCTGAGCCATTTCGGAGGTCATCTTGGGATCTCTGAGACCGTTCGGGGTCCTCTCGAGGGCATCTCGGGTGCCTCTTGGGGCCCTCTTGGGGCCCTCTTGGGGCTCTCTTGGGGCTCTCTTGGGAACCCTGGAGCGCCTCTTGGGGCTATTTTCGAATCTATCGATCAAAGGAGGGAGGGTCCCGATCGACGCCCCCCCCTCGGGGGCCACTATCTTCGTGAGGGGGGTCAGAATTTCTAGACGCTTCGCGTATCCCCACCAGCCCATCCAGAAACGACGCCCAGGCGAGTAGAGAACCGTCCTGAGGGGCTTTTCGGCGTCTTGGGTGCCTCGGGAGGGCCTCTTTGGGCCGCTTGGGATCCTCTTAGGGGCCTCCTGGGAGCCTCTTGGGGGCCTCTGGGGGCCATCTTGGGGCACTCTTGGGGCCTCCTGGGCGCTTCTTGGGACCATCTTGGAAGAGATTGATCACAGGAAGGGGGGAACTAATTAGCGTCCCCCCTTCAGGAGACCAAAATGGGGCCAACACCAAACTTAAAACATCAATGATTTTGGTTTCCTCGCCGAGGCCGTTCTGGACGCCCTGACACCTCCCCGCCCCTCCCGTTTAGGTCCACGGGGAGGGGGCCGGGGGAAGGGTAACCCCCCCCCGACAGGGGAAGAGGGAGGGGTGGAAGAGGAAACGCCCTGAACCACCGACGCTCAGAGGGCTGGTGGGATTGGCCTTCTGAGGTGCCGATCTTGGACGCTCCAACGGATCGCGGCCCCTCCCGTCCAGGTCCAGGGGAGGGGCTTGGGGGAAGGGTCAAGTTCCCCCCTCCCCGCCCGCAAACCGTCTCGCTCACCCCCACCCGCCCTCCCAACACATACGTAGCACCCAAGTCTGGCCCGAGCCTGAGCATATTCAGCAGTCGTCTTGGGATGGGCAGCTACTGGGGGCCAATATGGCGCCGCCGCCGCCGCCGCCTCCGCCGCCGCCGCCGCCGCCGCCTCCGCCGCCGCCGCCGCCGCCGCCGCCGCCGCCCCCCGCTGCCAAACCGCCGCCGCCGCCGCAGCCGCTGCCGCCACCGCCGCCCCGCCGCCGCCGCAGCCGCCGCCGCAGCCACCGCCGCCGCCTCCGCCGCCGCCGCCGCCGCAGCCGCCGCAGCCGCCGCAGCCGCCGTCGCCGCCGCCCCCGCTGCCAAACCGCCGCCGCCGCCGCAGCCGCTGCCGCTGCCGCCGCCGCCGCCGCCGCCGCCGCCGCCGCCGCCGCCCCCGCCCCCGCCGCCGCCGCAGCCGCCGCAGCCGCCGCCACCGCCGCCGCAGCCGCCGCAGCCGCCGCCGCCGCCAAGTGTACTGTGATTTCTTTTTGACAGGGATGGTGTGGGGGGGCCGCATCGGGTTGGCTGCGCATGTTCCGAATTTGGAGGCAGAGTGTGTTTTGTATTGTATTTTACAAAGGGAGGGTGGGGGGGTGTCGGCATGGACCCTGGTTGGCCCCCAGTCGCCTGGGGGAGGGGGTGTTTATTAATAAGGAACAGTGATAAACCATTCCCCGGAAGGGAAAAAGGGTTTCGGGGAGAGGGACAAAAACATCGTTATACCTCCTGCGCCCAGAGGGCTGCAGGGATAGCCGCAGGTCCTTCTACCACCCCCGAGTTCGAACTCCGGAATCCCCCCTGCGATGCGAGTTTCTTGGGCGCGGCTAGAACCTGAGCGCACGCGAAGCGCGCGCGTGGTTCTAGTATATACGTATAAATTCACACGCGTACGCATACACATACACATACGCATACACATACATTTACACGTACACATACACATGCACATGCACATACACACACACATGAAAGCGGCGCAGTGGCCCCGCGGGCCCAGGGCCCCCGATCGCAATTGTGGTGCCCACGGACCGGCTCGCTTGTGGGGGTCCAGAACCGCCATTGAGAGCCACCGGACAGCCGTCACGGCGGTCCAAGACGTCCCCGAGGCACCCCCACGATGCCCCTCCAGGGGCCTCCGACAGCCCAAGATGCGTCTCAAACGGCCCAAGAGGCGTCTACGACGCTTGAAGACCGCTCCGAAAGGAAAGGCTCCCCAACAGGGCGACGAGAAGCAAAAATAGCCCCACTCCCTTAGGAAAACTATCATTTTAGCAGACCCGCCTTCTTGATTTCAAGACGGCGCAAGACGACCCCAAAGATCGCCGAAATTCCCCCCGAGACTGCTCAAGAGGCTCTCAAAAAGGCTCTTAGACGGTCCACCAGGGCTCCAAGACGGACCAAGAAGCCCCGAAGACGGCCCAAGAGGGCCCCAAGATGGGCGCAAGAGAGCCCTCCGCCCAAAGATCACCCTCGAGGCCGCCCGCCAACAGGCGCCCACTAGGCCCAAGCGGGCCCCCAGGAAGCCCAAAAGAGTGCACTAAGAGGCCCTCAAGAGTCCCCAGCAAACCCTTGGGAAGCCGGGCTCCGAGAGACTTCCACAGAGACCTCAAGATACGTCGGTGAGGCCTCCAAGACCGCCGTCAAGGCGGCTCCAGAGGGCCCCAAACCGCCCCCCTCACGAGCATGCAGCATGCCACATAGTGTAAACACATGAAGCCAGTGGTTCTACATGCTCGGCGGCTCCAACTTTCCCAACTCAGTGCCACAGCCAATCCAAGAAAACGAGACGACATCCCAAGACCAGCAAAACACGGCCACGACATTCCATTACAAAGCCAGTCAAGGGCACAAGGGTGTTCAGCGATCTCCCCGACGAACCCGCAAGCCAAGACCTGCATATCGTGACATAACGATCTGGCAACCCTGGACGGCGCCACTGGAGCCAAAGACACCCTCCCCCCCCTCCAAGACAGCGCCAAAACAGCCCCAACGCCAGTCCAAGGAAGCTTGCGACATTGCATATCCGTCCAAGACGGCCGCAACCCTTCTAACAGCGAGTCGTCCCCCCAGGATTGCCCAATGACTCCCACCGACGATCCCACAAGCCCCCACCTACGTGCCATCACAGTGCCGTGGACGGTACTAGAACCGAAGCACGCGCGAAGCGCGCGCGTGTGCTTCTGGTATGTATCTGTAGATGTGTGTATGTATATATATATATATATAGATATAGATAAAGATATAGATATAGCGATCAAAGGCCGCAGTGCAGTGGCAAGTGCTGTGCAACAGCAAGCGGCAACTCGGGCTGTCGCGCTGGCGCGCTCGACGCACCGTTCTTTCATCTGCCCCCTTGTGCCCGAGGTCGTGGACAACTTCTCTGCGCACGGGCTTTTACACGCGGATCGCTGCACGTCAGTTGCGGCCTCGCCCGCAGCATTCTTGGATTGAGCTGTGGTATTGCAGGTTTGCTCGGCGATGTACTAATGTGCGCACTGTTGCCTGCCGCACTGCGGGGTCATCCGGAGAACGCTGTTGGATTGACTCAGAAGTGGCCACACAGTGGGTTTGCAATACGTAGTGTCCCTCGGCCGTCTGCGGGTTGCGACTTCATGGCAGCACGTCCTCTTGCTGGGCTGTTCTGGAAGCTGATCATCCTTGTCGTCCTCCTCCCTTCTTCTCCATTTTGATTCCTCTTCTTGCTTCTCCGTGGAAGCAGTTATCCGAACCAGCGGAGCAATCGATTGCCAGCGAGTCGTGGCCGAGCTCCACGCAGTAGCTGTAGGGTGAGGCACTGATTTGAGTGAGGCAGCTGTCGACATGAGTGCACGGCTCCGTCTTAAACGGCTGGCTCTTTTCTAGTAGTCGAGCTGCATGCGATTGGCAGATGGCGCATACTATATATGCACACATCTGCATGCATGCACACATGCATATACATAGACATATACATAGACATATACATACACATCTACCTATAATATACACATACATGTACGTATACATATACATATGCATATACACATACATATACATATACATATACATATACATATACATATACATATACATATACATATACATATACATATAGATATGTATATATACATATACATATACATATACATTTACATATACACATACACATACACATACATTTACACATACACATACACATACACATACACATACACATACACATACACATACACATACACATACACGTACACATACATACAGACATATACATATACATATACGTATACCTTTACATATACATATACGTTTACATATACATATACATATACATATACACATACATATACAAATACACATACACATACACATACACATACACATACACACATGCATACATACGTACAAACATACGAACACACATACACACATACACACATACACTTACATACACATCCATACACATATAGATATAGGTATACATATACATATACAGATACATATACATATACATATACATATACCTATACCTATACCTATACACATACATATACGTATACATATACATATACACATACACATACATATACACATACATAACCACATACACATACATACACACATACACATACACATATACATACACATACACATACACATACACATACACATACATATACATACATACATATATACATATACATATACACATACATATACACATACATACATAAATACATACATACATACATACATACATACATACATACATACATACATACATACATACATACAACAACACATACATACATGTATACATACACAAAGACAGACAGACAGACAGAGAAGCAGACATACAGTCAGACACGCATACAGGCAGACCGACAGACAGACAGACACACAGCAGCACGCAGCGGGGCCGCCGCCGGGGCCGCCGCTGCGCCCCCGCCGAGAGCCGCCCGCGCGACGCGGCGGCGGCGGCGGCGCGAGGAGCAGAGCGGCGGCGTGCCCTTCCCCGAGCTGGCCGGAGGCGGCTTCGGGAAGGACTCCGCCTACACGTCCTCCTCCTCCTCGTCCTCGTCCTCGTCCTCCTCGCCCTCCTCCTCCTCCTCCTCCTCGTCCTCCTCGTCCTCCTCCTCCTCGTCCTCCTCCTCCTCCTCCTCGTCCTCCTCCTCCTCCTCCTCCTCGTCCTCCTCGTCCTCCTCCTCCTCGTCCTCCTCCTCCTCCTCCTCCTCCTCGTCCTCCTCCTCGTCCTCGTCCTCGTCCTCATCGTCCTCATCGTCCTCCTCCTCCTCCTCCTCCTCCTCCTCCTCCTCCGGCATCGTGCCGCACGGCGCACTTCGACTGCACGTAAGAGTGACCTTTCGCCGGAGTGGCCTCTGGGGCGGGCCCAAGGGGGTCCCCCGAGCACCGACTGCGATGCGACAGTTGCGTCTCGCGCGCTCGTTTTTGGTCCCCCCCGCGGCCCCCCAAAAAGCCGCGCGCCAAAGGTTACTCTTACCTAGGGTCACTCTTGCGTGCAGTCGAGCACTCTTGGCCTCTTGCTGCCTCGCTCGCGCGCTGCTCGGCACGCGCGGGGGACGCCGCGGCCTTTTTTGGCCCAGAAGAGGGCCCAGAGTCCGAAGCGCGTCGCCAGCTAGAAGTGGTTCCGGTCGGTAATACACCAAGGGCAAATGCAGGGGGGTATGGCCCGGACCCCAGGTAAGGGAACCGGGTTAGCGGTAGGGCCCTGGAGCTTCTAAATTTGCCAGAATCACTAATCCAGGTCTGCCGTACAGCTGGTGTTTTTTCGGGTGGCGGCAGTTCCGGTGAGTGGAACTGGGCGGGGGGGCGTCCCCCAATACATTATTATTAAACCAGGTCCCACTAAACCCAGTTCTGCCAACGCCCGAGACAGGGGGGAGGGGCATAGGTCGGGGGCGGCCAAAAGGGGGATGATGACTAAAGGGGGGGGTGGACATCATGGCGGGGGCCACGAGATCTCCCAAGGTTGACTCGCGTCCCCCTGCCTATTTCAAGGCGTCCCTGCCCCGCCCCCCCCCCTGGGGCCGCGCACATGCCGCCGGCCATGATTTGCGCCTCCCCTCCTGGACTCCCCCTTTTTGGCCGCCCCCGATGGGCATGGGACCTCCAATCGCCCATTCATCGCCGATAGGGGCCCGATAGCCCCGACCCGCCCAGGAAGGTGCGGTTTCGCTACCGAGGGCCTATCGCCGATCTGTCGACGATGCATCGCCTGTTCCAGGTCGATGCATCCTCCCCTGTGCCAGTCCTCCCCTGTCGTTGCCCCTGAGGGGGGTGGGTGCTAGAGGTGTTCCTGGCCCAAGGTCCGCCGCACAAATGTATACATTGACGGCCACCAGTGGATTGTTCCTGGGCCTACGGTGAGGCTGTCGGTGTGTGATCACCCCTGCGAGCCAGCGAGTTGATGCGTCGACGCCCTCCCCGAGGGTCCGGGTGCGTGCGAAATTCGTCGGAGAGCGTCTGTGTAGGTATGTATATGATGTATGCATGCATGTTTGTTTGTCTGTCTGTCTGTCTGTCTGAGAGTCTGTCTGTGTCTGTCCGTCCGTCTGTCTGTTTGCTTGTATGTATGTATGTAAGTACGTATGTATGTATGCATGTGTGTATGTTGTATGTATGTATGCATGTATGCATGCATGCATGCATGTCTGTATGCAAGTTTGCATACATGCATGCGTGCTTGTATGTATGTATGTATGTATGTATGTATGTATGTATGTATGTATGTATGTATATATGTCTGTCTGTCTGTCCGTCTGTCTGTCTGTCTGTCTGTCTGTCTGTCTGTCTGTCTGTCTGTCTGTATGTCTGTATGCATGCATGCATGTATGTATGTATGTAATTATGTATGTATGTATGTATGCATGCATGCATGTATGTATGTGTGCGTATGTATGTATGCATGCATGTATGTATGCATGCATGTATGTGTGTATGCATATGTATGTATGTATGTATGTATGTATGTATGTATGTATGGCTGTATGTATGCATGTATGTATGTATGTATGCATTTATATATACATATGTATGTATGTATGCATGTATGCATGTATGTATGTATGCACATATGTATATAGGTGTATGCATGTATGTATGTATGCATGCATGCATGCATGTATGTCTGTAAGTATATATATATATGCATGTATGCATGTATTCATGTATGTATGTATGTATGTATGTATGTATGTATGTATGTATGTATGTATGTATGTCTGAATGTCTGTCTGTCTGTATTTATGTATGTATGTATGTATGTATGCATGCATGTATGTATGTATGTATGCATGCACGCATGTATGTATGTATGTATGTATGTATGTATGTATGTATGTATGTATGTATGTATGTATGTATGTATGAAAGAGCGTGTTCTACTGCTGCTGGCGGAAAACGGGGGGGAGTCACTAACGGTTCGAACCCCTTCCCCCCCCCGTTCATCATGAAAAGGGGGGGTCATTACCGGTTCGACCCCCCCCCCCCCTCCCTTGAAAACTGGGGGGGGTCACTACCGGTTCGAACCCCCCCCCCCTCGAAAACCGAGGGGGGGTGCGGACAGTGGTGGGGACGGTGGTGGTGGGGACAGTGTTGAGGGGACAGCGGGACAGTGGTGGGGACAGTGGGACAGTGGTGGGGACGGTAGTGGTGGGGACAGTGGTGAGGACAATGGTGGGAACAGTGGGGACAGTGGACAGTGGTGGGACGGTGGTGGTGGGGATAGTGGTGTGGGGACAGTGGGAATGAGGTGGAAACAGTGGGACAGTGGAGGGTACAGTGGTGGTGGGGACAGTGGTGAAGGCGGTGGCGAGGACGGCGGTGGGACAATGGGACAGAGGTACAGTGGGGACAGTGGTGGGGACAGTGGGGACAGTGGTGGGAACAGTGGAACAGTTCAGTGGGACAGCGGAGGAGTCAGTGGGACAGTGGGGACAGTGACAGTGGGGATAGTCGGGCAGTGGTTGGGGGTGTGGAGAAAGTGGGGAGAGTGGAACCGTGGTGGGAACAGTGGTGGGGACAGTGGGGACAGTGCGACAGTGGTGGGGGCACTGGTGGGGACAATAGGGCGGTGGTGGAACCAGTGGGGACAGTGGTGGTGAGGACAGTGGTGCTGGGAACAACAGTGGGGGATGTGGTGTGGACGGTGGTAGGGACTGGGAGTCGTTTGCTGGCGGTGAGTGGGTGGGTGGGGAGGGGTTCGAACCGGTAGTGACCCCCCCTCCGGTCTTCGAGGGGGGAAGGGGTTCGAACCGGTAGTGCCCCCCCCGGTTTTCGAGGGGGGGGGGGGGAGGGGTTAGGGGAGGGGGGGGGGGTGCCAGGGAGGGGAGGGGGGGAGGGGGTGGACTCAAAATATAGTTCTATTTAACGAGGCTGGTTTCTTTCGTTTGTATTGCCATGAAACGGGCATGCGATCGGGTTAAGAAGGGCAACTGTTTTCGGATGCAACGACAACCAGTAAGAATGCACGCGGGCAAGTTGTGAAGGAACAGTGATACCTACATCGCAGATGCTGGGCGCTTGCGAGTAAACTTTGCGTTTGGGGGCAGCAGGCCCTGGTCTGCTGATTCGTTCGCTATCACAGCATGATTCATACGGGGCACGAAACTAAGAGGTGCCTCTGTTTTAAAAAAGGAGAACTGGGCCAATATATTGTGCTCCGCAAAAGAATGCGACTGGTCACGCTGGCACTTTGATAAGAAGCCTATGCACAGCTTTGCCAACATCGCCGCAGCAGCAATGCACAGAGCATGTCGTTGTGTTTGCCACATGACGTTTCTATAAGAAGCCTTCAGCTGCTTGTGGAACGTTTCGTTGCGAGTGGTTCCAAATGTGACGTCATGGTTTGGGTTGCTGGCGACGTACTTGCAAAACAATGAATGTATCCCAGCTCCTGCGCCGTGGTCGCGTTTTCCAAACTGCTGAGCACCGTCGTATTCTTAGCTGTTTTGCGATGCATCATGTTTGGGTGTGCTGAGCAGATCGCTGCCAGGTCCTGTATGAAGTCGTACATGAGATCGTACGGCTTCTCCACGTGGCTGCTGCTGTTTTGGATGCGGTGGTACAAGCGTTTCGCATCTGATGGCCTCATAGCAGCAATTGCGGCCACCAGTTCGGAAGGCCCCGTGCGACCATCACTACACTGAAAAAAAAAACGAGATCTGCCAAATGCCCCGAGGCGAAGTTTAGCAATGCACTTACGAACGCTGGAAGAGAATGCCGTCGTCCTTGCATTGGATGCTTGCTCGACCTTGAGGGCAAAGTGTAGCAGGTCTTTGCGGGCGCATTTCAGGTTAGGAAACGCGGCGCGCAACTGGCTGCACTTGTCTTAAGACGCAGGAAAGTCGGAGCAAATTATTTGCACCTTCTCCGCATCCTCTCTGCGAATTGAATTCCGAAGAGCGCGCGCCTGCTGGACGGGGTCTTCTGAACTGGAACCGAAAATCTTGAGTATGCTGTCGTTGCGCTGGACAGTAATAAGAACGCGCATTGGAACCCGATCTCGCCTTGGAACTGCGTCTTGCTTCTGTCCGTGCGGAACTTGGCACGGCACAGACATCGATGGCTTGTAGAACCCATCCACGCCCAAGACGCGGACGTCGCAAGCCGCGCGGCATCTTTCCACGGCGCGCCGGACACTGATGTGATTGGTCATCTTCTCGTTTAAAGTATGGTAGAACGGTTCCCCGGTCGGGGGCAAATTCGATTTGTCGCCCGACTGAGCAACGAGAAAAGAAACTATCCGCTGCGTAGCCCCCTTCGTATTTGGGCGACTCATGGCAGCGAGGTAAGCGTTCAGGAAGACGCCACTGCATTCAAACTTGTCGGACACCTTGTGGTGCCTGTTGCAATCCTCCGTTAGGACGTACTTTGTGTTCGCTAAGTCTAATAAAATGGTGATTTGTTTGTCCAACCGCATCGCATCACAAACGAGTTGGCCTTCCCTATGCGACCGCGAGGGGCTTTCCTCCAATTGAGATATGATGCCAACTACGCAGCGATTCACAATGTTTCCAGCAGAG